AAAATGGGGGGAGGGAAATATTTCTTTCTCAACATACCCGGCTATGTGTAAATGTAGCCTATGACAAACATCTGGCTGCATGGGCGGAGTTTGAAGTGTGGATTTCTGTTAGACCAATCACGCTGTTACTTACACCTGTAGACCCCGCCCCTTCCTCTCATTCACTCTCCCCTATAGTCCTCCAGGTAGTGCCCAGTTTAGCAGCTCTATTTGAAATGTGGTTGTGGGCGGAGTTTATGTTTTGCCATGTGGTATTTTTATAGAAAATTGTTCTGTTGAGGTGCTGTTCTTGCTAGCAAACTATGGATGGATACATATGTTACACTCTGCCGGAAATAGTGTGAAGTGAAGCTTGTTGAGTGGCCAGTTATAGCAGCATAGTGATAAGTTTTGTAATCATCAAAACAAATCCCTGTTTATTATTCCAATTCACCATAAAGAATCAAACAAACAGAACCATGTTATGTATTGTATATAGGAGGAGGGTCAAGTGCTTGATCCTCTCCACTGGGATCACTGCTTATTGAAACTGAAATAAATTACCCATCATCTTTCAAAATAGCATCATCTAATGTGTATCTCATATTTTCTTAGAATGTGATGCACCTAGGCCTTCTCTGTTTACTGTTTTTATATGAATGTGTTGTAACAGGGCTCAGAAGGGATTATAATTTGAACATTTGAATTTAATTAGAATATGGGGTTATTATTTTGTTATACATGTAAACTATCAGGGTGCTTCAAGGGCTGTTTTTGCTCCATTTAATGTTGTATGCCAAAATTAAAGCAATAATAGTCAGTCAGTGAGTTTATCGTAGTTTCTACTTCAAAAATTTAACCTGCATTATCACTATGAGCAATTTTATTTCAATATTTGTTTATTTATGTGGATAATTTTTTCACATTGATTAAAATTGCATTCTGCTCCATATTTGTGATCCATATTTGCTTTACATTACATCAGTGCTGCAACATAATGAAGTAAAAGTAGTACTTAAGTACACATTTTAGATGTCTGTACTTTACTTAAGTACATTTTAAACTGGATATATTTACTTTACTTCACCACATTTGAGTGCAGGTATCTGTACTTTCTACACCACTGCATTTCTGAACAGGAGTGCAGAGTAAAAGTATTTTTATAATTGTCTGAAACCCGATAAAAAGGTTGAGAGTTTATTTAACATGCTTATAAAAATACAAATACAAATAAAAACATCTGGGGGGGATATTAATTATTACACATTTGAAGCTTTATAAGACTTCAAAACTGTGCAAAATACTTTAAGTAAACTTACTCTTTAAGTAAACCTTTAAACAGGTAGGCCTACTTTAATACTATTACTTTTTCATGTGTTACATTTACTTGAATATTGCTTTGCTCCTGTACTTTTACATAAGTAACAAAATTGCGTACTTGTCCCACCACTGTATTACATTGTTAGTTTTGCGCATGCTTTCTAAAACTATTGTTTGTTATTCTACCATGTTAAGCATGACTGTACCACACTCCCTGGAGAAAAACAATGGATTTAAGTGTATTATCACTACCGTGTAATAATGCATGATTTTGGATTTACCAGATTTGTTCCCATTGACAAAGTTCTTATAACCTAACACTGGCTTGCATGATGTAATTTCCCTCAGTTTCACGTTTCATTGTCTTGCGCTCATCTGCATGCTCGTATGTTTGAAAGTTATCCATGCATCCATTTCACAGCCACTCGTCTCAAATACTATGTTCTGTATCTCCTCTGCTTTCTGGCATCAAGAAGGTGGTTATATTTTTCAAGGTATGTATGGCTCTAGTGAAAATGAATGCATGTTATTTGAAGGAACTGTATACATCCTGCACTCTTACTGTTTTAAGAAGGGAAGTACAGTCACAGCTGAAAGGAGGCTGCCAGTGCCTTAACCTGCTTATTCACAGACAACTTTGTCTCATTCTCAGTATATGGACAGGCCATGCTTCATGTGAAAGCACAGAACGTAAAGAATTCACTCACTGAGCTGAAGAGGCTGCACTAGCACTGATTTGTGATTGGCTGTTGGAGCTATGATTGTGAGGACTCAGATCAGAGTGAGTACTTTTAGATTTAAACCAAAGGATTTCAGCACTGAAACCCAAAGGAGAGGCTCATCCTGCTTTCTGATTGGATAATCATCTAGAGAACCAAAACACTAAATTATAACATACATAATTTAGCCACAATTTTCAATGTTTTTTTTTTTTTAATTAAGAATAAATCAGCATTTCAATTATTTCAATTATCAGTAAAAGCTATATTTGATTGATGTCTCTTCATATCAGGGACATAGTTATTTTATTTGTATGTAATTTTGAATCATGTGGTTCTTTTAACGTGACATTGGTGCTAGGTTGCTTGGGAAACAGCGCTGGCAGGTGTGTACAGAGTTTGGTGAAGGAGCTGTGGGCGAGTTGCAGATCAATAGCTAAGCTGCAGTGTCAGGCCGAGAGTCGTGTTGATTAATGAAATGTTTTTGGCATCAGCATGAATCACCTTCTCTGTCGCAGCACAATCTTTCTCAGTGCACACTCAGGACTAATAGATCGGTGCTACTGGAGTCCCATAGTTCAGTGTGGACAGATTCTTGCCGGGAATTTTTATGATTTCATGAATCCTGATGTTTTCAGCATAATCTGCATAAACTGTTTTTGTGGGGGGGGGTTCGCTTCTCCACAGATCTCATCTCACCTAGATATGTGGAACATTCCGGATAAAGTCTGACATCTCTGTGGTACATTTCAGGTGGTGCCATAATGCAGAATTTGTATATTTGTGTCAGCAATTTTTTGATGAAGAAGTGAATATTTCAGTTTTTGTCTGTTTATTTCTCAGTCCAATCAGCAGTAGTGAGCATTTTTTCCCCTAGGGGGGCCCCACCCCCCAGGCAGACCGTCAGTTGCTCACAAGGAATGCTTTCAAAAGCTTTCCAAACATACTCAGCACAGACACTTAATTTCAGTAAACGGTCAATTATTTAAATCTAAAAAGCAGAAGGCATACAGCACGCAGTTTTTAGTTAGTAGAACATCTGGATTCCACATAAACAATACATTTTCTAGGTTAGATTTTCAGGACCATCTCATTATTTCTTCACTAATTACTCCCCTTTGAGACATGGATTGCTCTGATCAATCACACGGATTTTCTGCTACATTCTTCACCCTCCAATGCAATTTCCCACCTCTTAATAAGACAATTATTTTTGTTGTTCTAAATGTGCTAATTTAACAGCTGCTTTATTGCATGGCTGCTGGGCACAATATGGCTGTACCCAATAGACTTTAAGTAATTATTAGGAATGGAATGAAATATTAGACACAGACAGCAGATGCTAGCAGTGAAGATGTGCTGGTGTATCTCTAGCTCAGCCTTTCTGGACACCTGCAGAGTCATTCAATTTAGTTTGTTTGGCTTACACAACAACGCAATAAAAATATGCATTTTAATGTGATTGAAAAACTGAAGCTTGAAAGTGTCATGATCCTTTCTAAGGAGTTTACAGTTTAATTTGATTGAAGAACAGAATTAATAGCACTTTTTTCCAGTTTTGTTTTTATCCTTTATCCTTTATACAGATATTTCTTTTTTGATGAACATTTAGCATAGATAGAAAGAAACTTCTTACTTATGATTATGAAACATTTTCTCTCAAAGACTAAATTGGCTTGGATTTTCTGTTGTTACTGTTGATGCCAAAAGTAGAACAATATTACCCAGCTCTTTTGAAATGTGAAAGCATTGCATAATTAGTTTTGCCAGAGCACATACTTTTGCTATATCAGATTGTGCTTGTCCTTTTATTGCCTAAAGTGCTGACAACAGTGATGATTTTGACTGCTCTGTGTCTGGTGATTCTTCTAACAGGCCGGTCTAAGCCTGTACTGCAGTGCTCTAGTTTTCTATCTCGCCACAACAGTGTCTGCAAGAATCCTCTCATCTGTTATTCTTTGATGTAGCATCTTTCTAGCTATAAATAGAAATCCAGGTTATACATAAACAGTAACACATCTATTAAACAAATTTGGAGAGGTTTTTTTCATTACTGGCATGATTCAATGGAAAAAGAAAGTTAAAGCCATCAGGACATTCTCCACCGAGATAGATATGTTTTATGTCACACTGGAAGATTGGAATTAAAGGAACAAAATGTTCATGGAAACAAGCAGGAGGAGGCCCTCCTCCTGGCTAAGTAAGGGTCAGGTTTGTGGCGATGCAAGCCCACTCACTGTTTGCACACATCTTTTTTTTTTAAAGTTTTCCAGTGCAATAACCGAAATGAGAAAAATAAAATAATTATTTGTGTCTTTGTTTATGGCTAAAAAGTTACATTTTGGGGATCTAAATGAGAGTTCCATTGCTTTAAGTCCAATCAGTGCTAGGAAAGAAGTCATATAAAGTAATCTTTTAAAATATAAAAAAAAAATTTCCCCCATAACTATTTTTGGAATCCTGGTGAAATACAGTTGTTGTGTTCACTGCCACCTGCTGTTGATAAATTGAATTGAACTGAATTATCCTTATACAGAATTCACAGAGATGAATATGTTGCACTCAGATAATAATGAATAGTCTTTGTATTGTATGTACTATAAATGTTTATTTATTTATTATTTAAATATCTGACTTGGGACATTTTAGGGTTGAACTTATTCAACATTCATACGGGCCTATCTGCTGTTCTCTGAAATAGAGAATAACAGCACACTCTCTGTATTGAACATCTACACATGTTTGCATTAGAATTATTTTATAAACTCTTTGCCTATAGGGGATTTTTGGCCAGATTACTGATTACGGCCCATTATATAAAATGTGCAGAGACAAGATTTAATATTGATATTGACGTCTATTTCTGTAATCAACAACTTAATCCACAAACACATAACTCACTTTGAACAGTGTATCAGTTCTTTGTGGTATGTGATATATTTTACATGCGATCCAAGTTGCTGTAACTGCTGTTTAGTTGCCATGACTACCACTCCTCAGCCTGATGTGATGGAATTTATCTTTTGTACCTTCGCTCTCATTGGTTTGTGCAGCAAATGCTTTAGTCGTGTGTAATGGGAGCAGTGTAATTCTCTGTCAGTGAGTGCATTTGGTTTAGAGAATTCCAGGTAGTAGTAATTATGTGTAAATCTGCAACAAATGAAAAGTACACTCTGAAATTAATTAGAAATAATCCCTTTCGTGAAATAGATATGCAGATAAATATACGCAGAAGTCTAGGCCTATTCATTTGTGTGCATATAGAATTTCTGTAAGACTATATGAATAGTTTCCCTATTTAGTTTCACTGACTAAAGCAAAAACACAGAGATTTACTTTTTCATATTTGCAGTACAATACAGTGCAATTTACAAATGCAAACAGCTGAAATTTTTGTTAGTTATGAGATACAGATTGATCAAATTCACAGATTGCTCAAAGCTAAACTCTTTGTTTGGCAGTATAGATTTAATAGACACTACCAGTGAAAAGTTTGGACACACCATCTCATTCATTGTTTTTTTTTTCCTAATTTTTTTGTATTTTCCACATTTTATATGCACATTTCAAATTATATAGCAAAGGAAAAGGGTAAATGATGGTCATTTTTAAAAGTATTTTATATTAAAATCCTCAAAGTAGCCACACTTTACTTTGTCGAAAAACATCTATTTCACTTCACTTTTCACTTTTCACTTAATCATTCCATATATCTTGCTTTATATATTGCTTCATGATGTCATTCATATGTATCTAAAATGAAGAAAGTATTAAAAATAAAGAAAAAATAGACATTGAACAAGATGGCGCATCCAAACTTTTGACGAGTAGTGTATATTTTGATTGACTGAAGGAAGAATACAATGTAATGCTGCTGATACTATGGGTTGTTATTATTTATTGTGGCTGTTGTTGTTTTATTGTGGTTGTCTAAAAAGGTTGATGTTGACTTTACTCTGTTGACTGCATCAAATACTATTATATTATAATAATTGCAATACTAATAGATGTGTCAGATCTATATGGTTTGAACAACACTTAAAAAAGTAAGAACGATAATAAAATAAGCCTCAATAACCCTTGCCATTTGTTGGTGTGTCTTGACAAATGAACTGTATGCTAAGCTTTCCTTCATGTCTCTGTGCAGACGATGCAAGCGGCGCGCTGCCCCACAGACGAACTGTCACTGACCAACTGTGCCGTGGTCAGTGAGAAGGACCTACAGTCTGGACAGTGAGTGCTCATCATTAGACTTGGACTTAGATAAACTTTATTTATTCATAAGGGAAATTATTTGGATACAGTAACTCACATGTCACAGTATTATAATAATAAAGATTAAAAATATAAATGGTAATAATAATAATAATAATAATAATTAAAAGTATGAACTCATCTATTTATTTACTAATACATTCTGGCTTTATTTATTCCAATCCAGAAACACAATAATAACAGTAATAGTAGTAATAGTTACTGTAATAGTTAGTTAGTCATAAGTGGTCTGTGCTCTATTAAAATACTAATGAAAAAAATGGGGTTTACATAAAGGGAAAGCGCCATCAATAAGATTATTATGATGCTAAATGCAGTGTTATGAGATCAACCATCGTCCAGGTCTAATGAAAGTAAAGAGGCCGTTCCAAAAATAATAGCACAATCTCAGTTATCTACCACTCTGACTGCCATGGCAACGACTGCTTATCTCCACCAGACAGACCCGGGCATTTGGAGCAGTGTACTCAGGCAGCCATGATTGTGTACTGTTGTGTACTCAGTGTGCGTAATTGTTGAACATCTTTCAGGTTAGACAAAATAAAATATGACATTCTCACAATAATAAATATGAAATGTTAAACATTAAGTCAAACAGGCTATTGGTTTAGTTCAGAAATGCAGTGTATCAGTTTAATGTATTATCCATATATTAATTGTTAATTCTCTCTTATTCATTTATATAAAAACAGAGGTCAGCTATTTTATATATTTCAACATATATTGCACAACATGATCTTCTTTGCATCCAAAATATCTCATTTAGAACTGACACTTTATGTTCTTCTCTCTTGGCAGACATGTGACAGTGAAGACCACACCTAACCACAAGTATGTGTTCACTGTCAAAACTCACCACACAGTGGCGCCAGGGAGCATTGCCTTCAGCTTGCCGCAGGTACCGTACATGTCCATAACATGAACCTGAAATTTGTTATTACTGCTCAGCTCTAAAGGTTTGTGCTGTGTTTTGCAGAGAAAATGGGCTGGTCTGTCCATCGGTCAGGAGGTGGAAGGTATACAAAGCTTATCACTAATAGTGAACATTGTGCATTTTGTCAAATTTTAATCTGAAATAATTACCATTTCTGTGATAACATATTTTTACTTAAAAAAATTGATTAATTTTGATTTCTGGTCATAATGTTGCAAAACTTTCTAAAACAAACAGTGTACTTCTGTGAAAACTCCCATTCATATGACACTTTTTCTGCTGTTTTGTGTTGTCAGTGTCCAACTACAACTTTGACAAGTCCAAGCAGTGCATTGGTGCTTTGACCATTGAGATCGACTTCCTGCAGAAGAAGAGCACTGACTCTTCTCCATACGATTCTGACAAGATGGCTGCTGAGTTCATCCAGCAGTTCAACAGCCAGGCCTTCTCCGTCACCCAACAGGTACAGAGGCTCACATTAGGATATAAACATATAAACATAACATGATGCAAGATGGACCTAACGGTGTTTCTTTCTTTCTTCTCAGCTTGTGTTCAGTTTCTGTGATAAACTGTTTGGTTTGATGGTAAAGGACATTGAGGCCATGGACGCCAGTATCCTGAAGGGAGAGCCAGCCACAGGAAAAAAGCAGCAGAAGGTTGTATAGTAAACAAACGCTAACAATGTAATGATAGCCAAACTCTATGGTATCATCAAATTTCAGAAGAGTAAGATGTTGACTGGACTAGACAGATTTTTTTATATATATAGATAAAAAAGAACATATCCAGCATATTTCCTATTATCCCCTCATGTCTTGTCTCTTTATGCAGCCTATTGATTGTGCCTGCATTAGTTTTCCGTTGACTTGTTTGTACTTGACCTGGAAGTCACACACATAAGTACATTAACTGGGAAAAACATGTTCATGTATTCTTTTCATGTCTATACTCAAATATAATTCCTCCTCTTTTATGTGGACATTAGAAGATGCAATAGTGATTAAATTTTTTTTCTCCCAGATTGATGTGGGACTGATGGTGGGCAACAGTCAAGTGGTCTTTGAGAAGGCAGAAAACTCATCTCTAACGCTAGTTGGTATGTTTTACTAAAATTGTGCTGTAATTGTAAATAAATACTTAAATACATTGCAATATTTATAGCACATATTTCCATGAGTTCATACAATAGTCAAAGTCATTTTCATTATCAGTTTGTGTTTTCAAAATCCACATGGCTATCCAGATTCCATATAATGTGCCTCCACTAGATGGCAGTATCATAACATCGATGAGTTTCCATAAGACTTTCCAGGACTGTTCAGAATCTAGTACATTGCATCACCTGTGTGATCTGTTTAAATTTTAAGCAATTATTCTTGTAAATAATATAATTTTATTTTTTAACCACCATTATATTATGTTTTACAGGAAAGGCCAAGACTAAAGAGGCCCGACAGACAATCATTAACCCCGACTGGAACTTTGAGAAGATGGGCATTGGTGGTCTGGATAAGGAATTTTCCGATATTTTCCGCAGAGCATTTGCATCTCGAGTTTTCCCTCCCGACATTGTTGAACAAATGGGTATGGCTTTATTGTACTCACTTTTCCATATCTTTTTTCAAACTTGAGCTAATATTATTCCCACATCATTCAGTCATCTATTAGACATTTTAAGTAAAAGGACTCAAGATGTAATTTTATGTACCTACTATGCCACTCTTACAACAGAATTCAGAACCACTGATGTTACAAGAGATTGAGCAAATATGTATATTGCCTGAACAAATACAGAAAAATACACAATGCATGCTTTTCTGATGTTTGCAGTACTTTTTCATGACTATACAGTAGAGTTGGGAATCACAAGGTTCCTCACAATTTGATATAATACACGATACATGGTTCACAATACAATATTATCACGCCAGTGATATGTGCGTTAATCGATATATCATGATATTCTGTGATATATTGCTATTTTTCAAGAACCAAATACATCTTGTCAACAATATTTCTTTCACTACTACTACTGCAGAGCTATGAAATACATAAATTTTAATAATGAACACAGTGAATATGTCAAGTGTATTGTATAAACAAGTTTCCTTACATCAAATAAGCAACAAAGGTCACAAACAGCTGGCTGAAAGATACAATAAATACTCTTGGTGATACAGCAGCTCATGGTAACGATACTGCATCACTAAATTTAGTTTCACAATATGTTTATATTTTTGTGCACCCCTGCTACAGAAAGACTTAGTTTGGTCCCCGCTGACTGATTGACGACCAATTTGGAGCTCAATACATTAATAAAGTTCCATTCTGCACCATATTGAACACTTGCTCAAACAGACAGTGCCATTGTCTGTCTGAATGCATTATTGACCCTCTCTTGTGTGTTGCAGGCTGTAAGCATGTGAAGGGTATCTTGCTTTTTGGTCCTCCTGGTTGTGGTAAAACTCTGATGGCCAGGCAGATCGGTAAGATGCTCAATGCCAGAGAACCCAAAGTGGTCAATGGTCCTGAAATCCTCAACAAGTATGTGGGAGAGTCTGAGGCCAATATCCGCAAACTGTTCGCTGATGCTGAGGAGGAACAGAAGAGGGTGAGAGCACTGTCCCCTCTCTGCAAGGTAATGGAAGGCAATATTAGAGAATAATGTTTGGTCTTGTCTGCAGCTGGGAGCCAACAGCGGTCTTCATATCATTATCTTTGACGAGTTGGATGCCATCTGTAAACAGAGAGGCACTGGGGCAAGCAGTACAGGCGTCCATGACACTGTGGTCAACCAGCTGCTGTCCAAAATTGACGGAGTGGAGCAGCTCAACAACATCCTGGTCATTGGTCAGTGAGACATAAGTCTTACATTAACAACATCATCTCTATCATCCTAAAGTATATGCAATATATGTGCAGTGCCATGGTCATAATAAAAATGCTTAGTAACTATCTTTATAAAGTGCTGAAACACAATTCCAACTTACATTAATCTCTCTCACACTCTCCCTCTCTATCTTCTCTCTCACACACACACACACACACACACACACACACACACACACACACACACACACACACACACACACACACACACACACTCAGCCCCCTAATGCATCCACTAAGCAGGTTGGATGAAGTATCTTGTCTAAGAAAACATTAGTAGTATGAACTAACTAGAGTGGAATTGAAACTGCCACCCTCCCTATTATATGATCAAACCTCCTTGTCAAGCCCTGAACTCCTCTGATCTTGGAGGCATTTTTAGTACTTGGATGGGAGGCTGCTGAGAATATTACCTGTATTAATACCTGTCCTTAGGCAACACAGTTCACTCACCTTGCCTCATACAGTATGTAGTATGTGTTTGCTGCTTGTCAGTCTATTCTAGGTCAGCTGTGGTTACAATAGTATGCTCACCACTACTGAGTATGGAAACTGAGTTTGAGCATCTAGAAAAATGCTATACAAATAGCACATTAAACCACTCAAGAATGCATTTACTATAAATATTTTCCCCAGGTACTAAATAACTGAGTCCTGCAGAAAGTATGACTTTAGTGGAAAGGGCCTATAAGAATTTATAACTTATATCTTAAAAGGTTTGAATGTACCTATACTTATACTTGTTCACTTCTCTAATGTTTGTGTGTTTGTGGTACACAGGCATGACCAACAGACCGGACCTGATTGATGACGCTCTGATGAGGCCTGGCAGGTTTGAAGTCAAAATGGAAATTGGTAAGCCTCACAAAAAGTTTTCTCAGAACATGTGCTTTAAATTCAAACCGTACATCCATTGCATTATCATCTGAAAAACAAACTAGAACAGCCAAGAACACAATAACCAAATGCAAACATAAGTCCATGCTGACATTTCAGCGGATTAACCAAATGTCAGCTTGCATTTATTAGATCCAGCCTTTATTAACTTTCACATCATATTTTCCTGGTCGGTCGCCAATAGAGATCATCCCTGCCTTCCTGTATGAATATTCTGCCATAACATAATTCCCTTGCACTATCCATGTGTTTCTTATCACGATAGAGTCAAAACAGCCAGTGCAGACAGGGGAGACAAAACACGGCACAGAGAAATTACTTCCACCTCAGAGTTGAACTGATTATAGTTAGGAAAGTGCTGTGTTTTGCTGAGCAGAGTTTTCCCAGGACTGCCTACTCAAGCAATCTCAATATTAAGCTGCAGACTTCCCCGAAAGTCACCTTGGAAAATGAATACAGCACATCATTTACAGCTCCGCACCTAAATGAAAATAGGGTCTATGCATAGGGAATGAGCAAGATCTACGATCGGAAAAAGATTGCGCAACGCAGTGGAAGAAACATGTATGAATATAACTCACTATTTGGAATTTCAATTAAGCTGCAGGAAATTACACAGGTTGAATTTGGGTTTATAGTCTTACTCTTACTTACTCTTGCTAACACTATATAGAAGCTGATGTTAAAGTTATATTATTCCTTAGGTCTGCCTGATGAGAAGGGCCGTGTTCAGATCTTGACCATTCACACAAATAAGATGAGAAGCTTTAACCTGCTGGCCCCAGATGTGGAGGTCAAGGAGCTGGCAGCAGAGACCAAGAATTACAGTGGTGCTGAACTTGAGGGCCTGGTCCGAGCAGCCCAGTCCACTGCAATGAACCGTCATATCAAGGTCTGTATGCCATCCCCTGACATCAGCACCTCTGATGAAATCTATATGGTACTGTATGGAATTATATGGTACTAGAAGGTACTAGAAGGTATTAAAAGGTACTATATGGTACGAGAAGGTAGCGTGTGTTGTTGTTCAGGAGATTTACTGCATCTAAAACCAAATTAGCTTAAGCAGATCTCAGGTTCATGAGAATCGGAGGCAATTTAAATTAATAATGGGCGATAATAGTGATTTCATTCTAATACCAAGTGATACTATGGCAAATATTATATTGATTTGCACCCCAGCTTGAGCTAATCTAAAAAACAAATGTATGTGAAGATGAAATAAAATATAAATAATGTATGTAAAGAAAGATATATTATTTGAGACATTTCAAGTATTCTAAGTATAATTTTTATTGGGATGAATCTATAACTCGTTCCAAAAATTGTATTTTTCTTGAACTCAGAGTTTAGTACAAGAATACAGAATTACACTGAATAAACTGTTGTTGTGATATTATGTGTTTATTTCAGTCAGTCAATCACATTTATTCATAAAGCACATTTAATAACAACCTTCTGACCCAAATGCTTCACAGGTTTAGTTTAACAAAATACAGTAAACAATAAAAATACAACAAAGCCTTAAGGCTCCAACATAGATCATGGTATCTGCTCAAACAGCATCAAATGCCAATAACTAAAAATAAGTCTAGTAAAGTTTTAAAATGTCCAAAAGATAGTGCAGCTCAGATGTGGAGAGGGAGACAGTTCCTCGTTTGGGAGCTCAAACTAAGAATCCTCTGTGCCCTCTGTTCACAAGCAGCTGGTCAGCAGACCTCAGGGCTCTGGCACAGTGGGGCAGTGCCATTTAGACTTTTAAACACAATCATTAAAATCTAAAAAAAAATTGCCAATGAAAAACAATAAAGAGCAGCTAAAAGAGCACATTTCCTGCTGAATTATTAAAATTTAATAAACTATTACGCTTTAATACAGTGGTATAGTTAGTATTACTAGTGCAACCTAACTGTGAGGACTGGTGAGTCTGTATGTAGGATTTAGAGACGAATAACTACTTAACTTAATCCCCCTTTAACCTCAGTGGGGGATGTAGCATTAGTGACCCTGCTCAAGTAACTCAATAAAATAAATAGCCTTGTAATGGTACCTGCATTTTAAGAGGAACACAAAAGGTCAATTATTCATAGTGATCACTTAAGCATGCATCCCACTTAGTATACAGATGCACAATAACTAAGAGATTATAAAGTTGTGCTATATTAATTAAAATTCTGAATGTTGTAATGTCATTTGCATAATTTCTGTTTTTGTTTCTAATTTTGTCTTGTGTTCTTATCAGGCTACATCCACAGTAGAAGTGGACATGGAGAGGGCAGAGAAGCTGCAGGTTACGAGAGCCGACTTCTTTGGATCACTCAACAATGACATCAAACCTGTATGAGCATTTTTTGAGATTATCTTCTGTAATAACCACACACAACAAGCCAGTGATATTTACGTTGGTGGTTTTAGGCCTTTGGAACCAACCAAGAGGACTACTCAAGCTACATCATGAACGGCATCATCAAATGGGGCGACCCAGTCACTCACGTGCTGGATGATGGGGAGCTCCTGGTGCAGCAGACCAAGAACAGTGACCGCACGCCCCTGGTCGCTGTGCTCTTGGAGGGTGAGTATCACTAATGCCCATACATCACAAGTCTCTCTGAAATTGCAAAATTTGTTTAAACTTCACCACACTGTGTTAAAGTTAACTTTTTTATTTAGAAATTTCAGTGCATATGCTCTAAAACTGCTTCTACTATGGCTTCCTGCAATTACACATACAGCCTACTAGCTACTATCATGACTGCAATTATATTGCTCTATCATTACTTCATTTATACTAAAAAAAAGACTTGCTACTCCAGCAACAGAATCTTCAATAATTATTGTATAATTAGCCATGTTCCAGTGGAGCTCATGAGAGGCTATATGTTTTCACACCATTACATAAATACAAAACATCAATCAAGTGACAAGTCTGTTTTAGTCTGTGCATTGACAGTTTACATTGATGTTCCAATTTCATTGACTTGCTACACCTATAGAATCAACACTTGATGACACTAATTAATGCCTTTTCTGTTGACACACACATTACCAGGTCCACCACACAGCGGCAAAACAGCTTTGGCGGCTAAGATTGCAGAGGACTCCCAGTTCCCCTTCATTAAGATCTGCTCTCCAGACAAGATGATTGGACACTCTGAGATTTCCAAGTGCCAGGCAATCAAAAAGGTTAGTCTGGCTGAACAACCCATTCGCATTCAGAGCACTTTGTCCCATACTGGTTTGATGTTTTTAATTGCATGTATTTTCTCTTTGCTCGTAACTCACTGCTGTACACAGGTCTTTGATGATGCCTATAAGTCACAGCTCAGTTGTGTGGTGGTGGATGACATTGAGCGTCTCCTTGACTACGTCCCCATCGGCCCGCGCTTCTCCAACCTGGTGCTCCAGGCTCTGCTGGTGCTGCTCAAGAAGCCCCCGCCCAAGGCAAGAACACACAGTCCAGTCAGCGCGCATTGCAATTAAGAAATATCAAGAAGATTTAAATACTTCACACAAACACACCATAAATTAATATAGATTTGATCAAGTATAAAAAACATAAACACCACTGATAGTCTGATAGTAACTCAATGCACAGTACATACAGTTATGTGGTCAGCTGATGAAGCTTATAAACAACACTCTTTCAGCACTGACACAAATCTCCTCTTATCTTGAGTTATCTTGAGTATATTTACATGAATAAAACTATGACTGACAGTTGTACAACATTATAGTAGCCAGTTAATGCACATCACAATTCTTATTTAAGTGACCACTAAAATTACCATCTTTGATATGTTAAAAATCCATTAAATACATTTGTTCTGTATGAGAGCAAGTGCGATCATTTATGCATAAACCCTGCACCTGTAGAGAACCCAAAGATGGCAGATTGGCAGATTAAAGTGTATTCTAAATCTGACTTTACACTAAGCCATATTGGATCCCTTTGGAAGTTGCTGCACCGTCAGCAGCTTTACAGGCCTTTCGTTTTACTGTGCAGTCCACTGGGAAATTCTCTCTGGGTTTTGCGCATTTTTATTTTAGGGGGTGGGATTGAAAAGGGAGGAGCAAGTGTTTATTGAACTGATACACAATATCAAAGGTCAAAAGTTTTTTTACTCATACTTTGCATTGTTCTCACCATTATAAGTATATCTTGCACTGGCCTATACTGCAGGCAAGACTCAACAAGGTTCAGATTAGTTTAAAACATTTTTGCATGTCACTTACTATATTTTTTGAGACTGTTTTTACTATGAACTGTTTGTCTAACCTGATCCTGTGATTTCATAACATCACATGTCATAGCGTTCTATAGATTTCTGAGAGTTCACAGGGGTAGTTAAGGATATATTCTAAAAGGTGATTTTTTTTGTGAGCACAGGGGCGGAAGCTGCTCATTATTGGCACCACCAGCAGAAAGGACGTGCTACAGGAGATGGAGATGTTAGATGCCTTCAGCACCACTATCCACATCCCCAACATCTCTACAGGGGAGCAGCTGGTGGATGCTCTCGAGGTACCCCCACAGCTTTACCTAGACCTCACTCATGTCTGATGAAAAACATGTCATAAATGTCCATCTGTGTGTCTTGATGTTGTTGCTGTAGTTGCTTGGAAGCTTCTCGGACAAGGAGAGAGCCAGCATTGCTCATCAGCTCAAAGGAAAGAGGGTCTGGATTGGAATCAAGAAACTTCTCGTCTTCATTGAGATGTCCCTACAGGTATGCATCACAGAAGCCATTTAAGATACCCCCGAATAGATTTACATTATATTTGTGGGTTAAAACATCAAAACCTTACTTTTACACTGGAGAGTTGATGGAGATTATGTCCCAAATCAGGTCAGTTCAGCATGCAACATTTGTTAGTTCGCTTATACTCAGTATTATTCTTTTTATGTTTACTTATAGAGATCTGTCAAACTAATCCTACTGTTTTCTGTTGACCTAGTAAGCTTAGGCTTTTGCAAAATTATGTAGAAATGAATGTACAGAAGTAACAGCTTTTAATAAAATATTCTAAAAAAAACAACAACACACACACATTCTAATTTGCCTTTTGTACAGAAATATAAACCTTCTCTTCTGTTTTTAGATGGAACCTGATTACAGAGTTACCAAGTTCCTGTCTTTGCTGCGAGACGAGGGAGCGTGAGTATTCCATTTGTTATTACACTAGTATTGCATACAACCTACTATGCTATCATTTATCATCACTTCAGTTATAAGTTTTGCCATTGCCATTTTTCATTGTTCAAAATGCTATGCTACATTATTGACAGCATATGTATTTCTGAGATACATATTGAGCTGTTTACATATGATGTATGTTGTAATTACCAGGTTAAATGATGGCGATCAGATCCGTATTTAAGCAGCAATTGTTCGGGTAAGGTCAACTATAGGAGGAAGACTAGAGGAAGGCTAATAGTAGTACAATAGATAATCTTTTTTGAATAGTGTGTGTGTGTGTGTTTGTTTTGTGTCGTGCTTCAGATTTTTAGTATTGAACTTCACATCCCATGATCATTAGTTGTAAGGGAACATTTCTCTTGCTAAAGGGACTGTCCGGACTTTTGGACATAGGACCTAATTTCTTAGTTAGTCGGAGTGTTGGAAACGTGTGGAGACACTTTTTAAAATATTCCATCCAGTCCTTGTATTTGCGGAGGTCGCTGGTGCTAGGCTAGTGCATGTCAATGGCCATAGTTAGCCTGCCACTAAAAACAGTCTTACCCACTCCACAAAACACCTGAAGCAAAACAATTATAACGCCAGACTGTTAATGTGAATGTCTATGTCAATAGAACAATTTCAGAAGTAAAACCAACCTTGCATTTGAAGGATTTATGTCTGAGCATCAGCAGCAGCGAGTTGTACTCCCTGATAGAAAGCTTGACAGTGGCCACATAGCACCTACTTTACTGGTAAAGTAAAATTCTGCTGCTGCTGAGAAAATAGTCCCTCAACATGCGACGATTCATGCAATGCGAGGTTAGTTTTATTTCAAACATTATTCTATCAACGCAGACATTCACATCGACAGTCTGGCGTAATAATAATTTTGCTTCAGGTGTTTTGTGGAGTGGGTAAGACTGTTTTTTTGTGGCAGGCTAACTATGGCCAATGGCATGCACTAGCCTAGCACCAGCGATCTCTGCAAATACAAGGACTAGATGGAATATTTTAAAAAGTGTTTCCACACATCTCCAACACTCTGGCTCACTAGGAAATGAGATCCTATGTCCAAAATTCCAGACTATTAAATATATAATATTAAATAGCCTACACACACAAACACACAGGGATTGAACATGACCCATTCACATAAGTATAATTTGCAAGCATTTAGAGACAGTTCAGTTGTATTAACATTCAATTTAACCACATCTTTATACCTAACATGGGTTAACTGCTTTGCTATTCTTTGCTATGGGTTCAGATGAGAGCACAAACAATTGATCTTGTAGCCTCTATAGCCTCAAGTAGTAAAGGAACAAGGCTAAGAGCAGACCTTCTTGTCTTCTTTTAGAATTGTCTCCTAAATGAAATATGTGCCTCCTACAGCCCTTGTCTGCAATCCCCCAGTGGTTCGTGACCCTCAGCTGTTCTCATTTTCTACACGACCAAAACAATCTCAAACTTTTCTCTGCGCAAGTTGGCTCCACAGAACAACATTATAGGCTATTTTTATAGTTCTATTTTACTCTGAATAAGCCCGGAGCACATCCCCTTAGTAGCTCTGCAGGTGAGTTAATAGCTTAGAGAGAGAAAAAAGTCTTCTTTGTTATTGTAGCTCTATGATTTTACCTCACAAATGTATGAAAAGGCTTTGATTGTCATAATAGGGTTCATCGTCAGACACAAAAGGACTGAGCAGACAGAGAGGGAGCAGGGCCTGTTGCTAGTGTCATTTTGGCAGTCACAAGAGATGCGGATTTTCCCATGAAGCATTGCCTGCTCTCTATCGCACATGCTTTATAGTAAAATATCCTGTAGTTAGGTCATTATTTTGACTTGCATGTCAAAATTATTCAGTTAATCAGTAATCATTTATCAGGGGAAAAAAAAACAATAATAGTGATCATTTTAAAGGTACATTGTGAAACTTTTCAGGTGGAAGGTCCACCATCTGTTTTTCTCTATGTAGATGTTATTACTTTGTCTGAAATGTTTCACCATATGGCATTAAACCTTTTTATCATCATGGAGACCACACCAGGCCAAGTTACTCATTAGATCTGCGGAGAGGTGACCCAGTTTTTCAGTTGTTCTAGGTATTTTTAAGTAATAAAACCACCTGTAATTGAATACATGTAACTTAGATTTGTTTAATGTCATATTGTGGAACACTCGAAGCAGAGCAAAAACATGTTCATAGAAACAAGAAGGTGTGTAGTCCAAACAACTAAACAAAGACATAATGTGCTTTTTAATTGGCTGCCACATGACCTTAAATTATATTTCATAAAGTTGATCACAGCAGTGGTATTGTATTAGCCAATGGGAATGAAGAAAAATTAAGAATTTTATTGTTGTTTTGTAATGATCTATACAATTGTGAATATTGTGAATACTCGACATCCTTAGTTACATTGAAATGGATATATTTTCATATTTGTACCACAAGAAATTGGTTATTGTGGATAGCATGCGGTCTCTTGTCCCTTCCAGCTGTCATCCTGCCAGTGGAAATATCATCTCTTTTCTTTTGCTTCTGCTTGTTTTGTAGTGATAGAAGCTTCTATGAGTAAAACATATCACTGTCACCACAAGTCCAAGAAAATGCCATGAAGAAGGAGGAGATGAAGGAGGAGTGGAGCCGTTCTTCCTACCCCCAGTGCTCCACACTGAGGACTACTTAGCATGTTTTAGTACTCTATCACGTCATTGGTCCATGCTACTGACATATCTCAGCAAAACCACTGGAAGTTGTACTGTTAAAAAGACAAATAAGTGATTGTATAAAGTGCTGTTTTGTGCATCGTGTGTGGAAAACAGGTGTATTTGTAGTTGTAGTATTTGTTACCGTCTAGTTAGTTAGGTCAAATATGTATCCACACAAAACAGTATAAAGAAATACACAAATCTCTATATAGGTGAGACTGTGAGAGGATGAAATATAGTGAGTGTAAAAATAGGTAAACGTGTAAATGTGGACCCTTTAATTTTGTAAATAATATATATATGGACAAGTATAACAAAACTAAAATATGTTTACTATTTTGTTCACTAATAGTAAGACTTATGCTTATGGATATGTTGGTAATTTAGTGGAAGTTAATGTCAGATTGGTGACCTGTCTGTCTACAGTACAGTTCAGTCTAGTTAGTGTAGCCATGGCAATGTCAGTGTTTCAGAAAATATTCAGCACTTTTGAATTTTACATTTTAGTATTTCTTTGGGAGGTAGACGCTGCATGTGTCCAGTGTGTGGGTTTCTTGTATGGCTGTGTGGTCAATCAAAATATGTGTGACATGATGTGAGGATGGTTTACTTGTCATTTTTTCCTCATGTCCTGTGTTATGTGCTTCTTGTCTCAAGTTCTTGTTTTGTTCGAAGCATTGATGTGTGTGTAAATATAAATTAACACGCAGATGTATTATTGCAATAAAAACGACTGATGCAAAGAAGAAACACATGATTTGTTGTCTTATGATTATGAATATTTTATATATTCTGTTTTACTTATTACTTATATTTTACATGTTGGCCTGTTGTTTTCCAATGTTAACATGTCTGACAAGTGACAAACAATGCCATGCATCTTTATCCAGTATTAACATTATATTACTGCATGCATGTCTTTGCAGCAAGAACATTTATTTGAAGACTAAAAACAAAATCGGTGCACTAATATTATGAAAACGCATTTTTCACATATATTTTTTATCAAGAGTTATATAATTAGGCATAGACAATGCAGAGGGCTAGACTTATGGTCAGTAGTGAATCATTCAGATAGCTGCTTATAATAGAGGTTTGACTGAGCTACTAGAGGTTTATTCAAGTTTTGAAGCTTTACTTCATGTCTGTCTCACACAAAAATGTTTATTGAATATGTATATGAAGTTGTATATGAGCTGTGTATGGTAGAAAATTTTACAAAATGTGGTTAAAACTACTACACCTACTCATCAGGAAGCCCAAGGGCCAATAAAAATTCGTCTGCAGGCCATGTAAAATTATTATTGCTAAGGAGAAACTCACTGGTGTAAAACTGGACAAATTCATTGACGATGTTTCGCAGTTGTCCAGCTGACAGCTCAAACATTTTGCACTTTTGACATAAACATAGTTGACCATGCAAAAGATTGTTAGCCTGTCTGTGCCACCATTAGTTCTTTGTACATTAGGATGTCAGTGACATGCAAAGCAATTGTACCTATGTAAGCCTATATCCTCCATATAGGCTGAGCTCCAACTACACACTCATCATACATCATAATAAAGCAGTTAATTCAAAGTATAGTAGTTGTAAATTATTTTTATTTATCTAATTTTGCAAGAGCTAGTTTCTTTAAAATACAACATCAAAAGGTGGCCCGATGACACTAGCCAATCATGTGTGTTTAACAATAAACTATAACCTAGTCTTTATATAGCCTAGTCTGATAGAATGACTGCAGAATATATATATATATATATATATATATATATATATATATATATATATATATATATATATATAAACTAAGTCAAATATTCTCCACCAATTTTAATTTCAAAGTTAAGCCAAATAGATATTGTTGAACATTTGTGTAGGTTACAGGCTTTACAGGCTTTATTTGCAACAAATTTGTATAAACCAGCCGTAGCTTCTAACAGTTGTTGACATTTTGTGTCCCATAAATAGCAGGGCTATAGCAGGTGTGGGCAGATGTTAATTCTCCATTGCTTGATAATAATATTCTCTTGAGTTAGTGTGTCACGAGCTCAGAACTATAAGTCACGACGACACACTTGAGTGCACGCGCCGTGCAGCATCCTATCCCACATTAATTACCACGTGCGCAGCGTTGGTCCGCCACTAGAGCGTGCTGTGGAAGCTCCTCTCCGGAGTGAGGAAACCTCTCCTCCGGCGTCAGCAGCAGAAGCAGCCCGCTCCTCCTGCTCTGCTCCTGACCCGCATTCACCCATACTGTACAGGCAGGGGGAGGACCGAGCGAGCGAGCACAGGAAGCTAATAACCTCTGTACAGTTTGCCTGCACACCGTGGCCATGGCCTTGGAAGTCCCAGGCAGACGCTGCGCTCTCGTCTTTGCTCAACCCACAGCGAATGTTTAAAGGGGCTAACGCGGAAAGAAAAAGAACGCAGTTTGGACTCGGAGGGTAAGCTAGCCTTTATTTCTTTGCATTTCTATTTGATTCTGCTCTGCACGTGTTATCGCGTCTATGTGTTTTAGGTTTCCCGGCTTGAGGCAGAACGTAGAAAGTGTCATTTTACGGCAGTGAACGCAGCGGGACAGCTTTATGGGGACGGCGGTGCAAGGTGAGTTGCTGTCCTCACGTCAACCCGGCCACTGTACCTATAGGTTCATGTAAAGCAGCCTGTCAATTAGCTCTAGCACAGCCAGCTGAGCCTGTAAGAAAAGTATCATTCCACTTGAGAGGCACATCCAATACAGGCGCCAAAAGCTCGCTCAGGTAGGGCCATCAAAATATAGGTGAGTAGTCATATAGCCAAATAAATATGCATTACTTGCTCATTTCAGTTTGTATTGAAACTGAAAACCCATTTGAGTGCTTTGTATGAAACGGAGTGTGATGCCACATAGATAAGGTAGAGGGCAAACTGCCTGGCACTGTGGTTGTTTGCTGCATGCATTTCTATATGGTTCTATATGTGATTTGCTAGTGTGGCCATAGTCCACATTCCTATGTTGTGACATGTTCCGAGTTAGTCTGCATTTGCACAAACTGCTTTTATTTGAGCCGGCTATGTGTTGCAAGATGGCATGACATGTAGAGTGTGGGTTTGGTAAATGTAGGGTTAGGAGGAGACCGATGTGGGAAGGACACAGTGTACAGAGTGAGAGCAACATTCAGATCTGAAGGCTTTAGCTTTGTTGATCTACAAGTAATGCCATGGAAGCACTGGGGGTGGCACTTGTTATTAATAGTGCATCTGTTGCTTTTAATATCGTTGAGGTATTAATTTAATATAAAGAGACTACCTAAATATCCCGGCAGTAAATAGGACGCTTTATCACTCCTTTGAACACAGTTAATGACCTAAACCATGTGTATTTAAAGTGGTGGTTATAAGATTATACATGTCCCCTCCTGCCTGCTTTTATTATGTGTACATTGAGAAACGACATGCCGAGAAAAGCAGTGATAATATCTACGTCGGGTACTTGATGACAGGCACATATATGCATAACATGGCAGTTAAACCGAAAGGCAGAAAACCTGTTCTGAATATTCACCACAGCACTGCTATGAGTTACAATCTATTTACCTACTTCTAATCTACTTCTAATAATAGGTACTCTAAGTATGCAAATAGATTTAATGCATTTCTAAATAGCTGCCAAACTAAATGCCTATCGATAACATGTGTTACATTATTTAAAAAAAAAACAAAACTAAATGCCAACCACTACCTTATTGTTTATTACTAATTACAATACAGTTGCCTATAGATTCTGGACAAATTAACTACAGCAACAACAACAACCTGAAAACAAGATTTGCAGATCAATGTGGAGTTGGCTGGCTTTTGGAATTCTTAAGTACTCCTTAAGACATAATAAATTGTTGCCAACTGTGTAGGTGAATTTATACACGAGATAAACAAACGAACAAACAAAAAGAAACCAGTAATTGAGACCTAGAATTAAATAAATAGAACCAAAACAATGTGATATTGCCATCATATTGTTGACTGTAAAATAAACAAATACATCAAATCATTATTAGCATTTATAATTCTGTAGGTAATCCATAGTTATATCCACTTATTGTACAAATACTATAATTTACTCAAGTCACTTTACCTGCTGTTTATTCCTGTCTATATGCTTCACTGTTCAGTAAGAAAACACTTTGTCAAAGTTTTGTAGCTTACAGCTTTACTCTGCCGACACAGTTCTGTGTTTGTTTGTCTATTGTAAATCTTTTTATCTTGATTTTGACTTTGATTGCATGTTCCTGTTTTCCTGTCGTTCCTGACCTATACATTGCAACACTGTAATTTCACCATTGTCGGACAAATAAAAGTTTATCTTATCTTAATTGTGGTTATATATTTGGATAACTGTGGGGGTTGTTTGAGCAGCTTGGAATTGAAAAAAATAAAGTTTGGGGAAAAAGACCACCACCAAGATTTTAGTCACACTGGCTTTGTTTTTTTTTTGTTTTTTTATGGTTCAGAGAATATTGCACAAATAGTCATTTGCATCAGGATGTTGAATTTTCTGGTTGATTCAGACTTTGCTAAATAATAGTTACTTTGCGGTTCACCAGGTAGAATACAGATGTTATGGAACAAGTAGCATCTCCATAGCCCCTCTCCTCTTTTTGACTTTGTTTGCTCAGAGTGAGATACACTATTTCCATCATTCTCTAGTGCTCTATGCTCACCCTCATGTACAGTACAGGGGCGTACATGGCTATTCATATCATAAGAAGGATTATTTCCTAGTTCACCTGCCACCTGGTTGAAATAAGTTCGCCCAACTGTTGTTTTCCCCCTATAGCATATATAGGAATTAGTCTACATCATCAGGTTTCCCTACTCTCTTGTTTTTTTTTTGTTTTTTTTTAAAGAGAAAAGGGAAATTTGGATTGGGTTGAGATGCTTGGCTTCTTATTGGATGGGCTGAAATGAAAAATGTGACTGGCATAAATTAGTAGCACAGGGAAAAAAGTGAGTAT